TGTGTGTGTGTGTGTGTGTGTGTGAGGGAGGGATCATTCAACATCTGTGTAATTCAAAATAATATGAAAAATAATGATAAGACGACTCATTTTACCAACAATAGAGGTGGATCTACAACATATGACTTAATGGGCAGTTCAATTATTTTATTAACCATTTAACTTTAACCAACTTGAAATACAGGCTGCAATGAATAATAAATGCACTGGGCAAACAACTCAGTGAAAAGCCCGTTTTTATTGTTTCAAACCCCGCGGTGAAAATATTTTTCCGCGAGTAGATAACTTCTTGATATTTTGTCCATTGCAAATAGAGCTGGAAGAGTCATTGTTGACAATTCTACTGGCATGATGGTGCAAATAATGGACTAGATCAAAATGGCTCAATTAAATTCTAGTGCTTCCTCTATTAGTGAAGTTTCTAGAAAAAAAAATATATCAAACGACGCAATGCACCTTGAGTCGCTACGGAAACAGCCTCCTTGTTTAATTACAAGGGTGAGGTCTGCGTACAACTGACCCCCCAGACTCCAACCAGTTCGGAATATACTGGGTATGTTGTTGTTGTTGTTGTAGATAACTTCTTGATATAACTCCAAGGAACTTGTGGAGGTCAGGACTACATAGCTACTGACTACTTAAACAATTTGCAACTAGAATTTTTATCAGAAATCAATCTGGTTAAGTATTATGTGGCCACCAGTCATACTATAACTCACTAAACCAACTCCGTTAAAATACAGACTAGCATTCCTGGATTTAAACAGAAACTGCAAAATTTACCTTTTTGTAGGAGACACTTTAGACTTTGTAGGCACCTTGGAATATGCATTAAGTATCCTAAAAATAAAAATAAAGTAGTGCGGTGAAAATGAAGGTTGAAATAAAGAAAGCAAAACATCAATGACATGCCACAAGTATAACATACAAATTTGCAATGAAAAATTACCTTGATAAATTTAAAATTAACATACAAAATAAAATGGCAAGCTATCGAAAGATTACAAGAAAAGGCAGAACAGAAAACCAAATATCGACCAGTTAGCACATAATGTTTCATTAAAGAGATCTTCTACCATTCCAATTGTTCACGAAGAATCAAGTCACAAAAAAGTTAATGTAAATCTCCTAGCAAACTTTTATTTGTGTGTCGTTTTCACGCCAATGTTACATCCACAGAAAGCACATCCCAATAAGGAAGAAAAAAGAGGAGCAATAAATATCAACCAACCTGCTAAATAAGTTTGCAACTTCTTCACACTCTCGTGCATTATAGAACCATATACCATTTACCTCTTGGGAAGCATTTCGATATAATAGATACGGAACCTGCACTTCATACTCAAAATCTCCCAAGAGATTCTCCACCAGATTATCTGCCAACAGAAACAAGACCTCATAACACACATGCTTTATACTGCATCTTCAGTAACATATTTTGACGATTCTGAGCGCTATCCACAAAAATTAATTTCATTTATTTTTCTTCTCCCAAGATTCTGAACAGCCCAGACCCAAATGATTAAGATTAATAAAATATTAATTAAAATTTACTAGTGAGAATTGAAGGTGCTTTTTTTACTTGCTTCCCAAATTCTATGTTATCGTAACCTATTATAAAGGCAATTGCTCCAGAGAAGATGTGCCTCAAGATCTACTAGGCCCCCAATTTACGGTGTGGCCATTCACTGTGGACATATACATCCATGTCACCAAAGTCAGCTGCTCTAAAGTCTTAACCAGAAAAATAATAATAAATTCTAAGTATGATTCGCCGAAGTTAGGGTTTAAACTGAGCTCGAAAAAGTGGCTATCCAGCTTCTTCTGGAGTGGGGGAAGCTTCATAATAATTCATGCTAAAGTTTCATTCATTTTATATGCATTCAAGGAACAAATTTCAGATTCTTTAAAAATGAGATTTTCAATTGAAAAAATAAATAAATTAACCAGCCAAGTCAAATCCAGATGCCAGGGGAAACTATCTACTTCTCGAGTTGATACCAACCGATACTATTAACTTCAATGATCCTTCAAAGAGAAGTCATAATTCACATCTCATTTGCTAAATGATGAAATCTTTTCACTTGGTAATAAGTTAACATCATCAAAGAACAAGAATTATTTTTTCTCCTTGATCGGTAGGCACAGTAAGGACCCGTTCCCGGAACATGCCAACCACATTCTCAATTCAAACACAATTCGAGCGAAATGCTATTGCAATGGAGTGATGACTAACCAGTGTTCCGACGATTCATTACTATAAACTGGAAACGCGGCTGAGTATTCCTGAACGAACAAAAAAATTCAAAATAAAATAAAATTAATACCCATAAGAGGAATTATAATACCCATAAACTTTCCTCACATAAAAATCCAAGGCAACCCATATATTGAACTCATGAATCCCTAAAAACTCAGTACCAATAAAGCCC